ATTCGTGTCTTTAAAATACTAAAATGAGCAAGAAATCACAGCCTTTAAGTGTTCAAGGCATTTTAATGATGGTGAAGGTCAAAGACAAAGTGCAGACTTGTGGAGGTGAGGAGGTGTCAGAGACTAATGTAATTCTCATTTCCACTGAAGTAAGTGGACGGAAGCTTAGAGTGGGAGAAGAGGGGAGAATGCAGATGTGCTGCACGGAGAAGGAGGGACTGCAGCCAACAGTAGCACAGAGGACGTTCCCAAGCATTGCTCCATCGTTTCGTAGTATCTCAGAAAGCCCAAGGATGGTCCTGTCCTTACGGCGGCAATTAGAGGGAATACAAAAAAGGCAAGCATAGCTTTTAGAGAAAGGGGCTTTGTGAGATGATGGCAAAGGGATGAGCAATTTCTCTCTGATGATCAGCTCCAGCTGGGCGAGTGGGGAAGCGAGGGAGGCAGGTGGCTCCTGAGAGCCCACCTGGAGGAAGGCTATAGAAGGGATGCTGTGCAGCAGCGCAAGTCCCAGAGTTATGAGGAGGAGAAAGTGAAAGGCTCATGCTTTTTAAAATTATTTATTTATTTATTTATTAAAGAGTAAGAGCTTGTATTGTGATCTTACAGGTTTGGGTTTGGGTTTTTTTTTGGTTTTTTTTGAGTTAACAGTAACAGGCGTGTCTGTGAGAGGTGTTGAAAAAGCCCCGGTTGCTGTGTTGAGCTCTTCCTGGGTGAGTAAATATTGTACTCACTCATACTATAGCAACAACAAAAAAAAAAAAAAGAAAGACTTTAGCAAGTTCTTACTACCTCTTTGGGTAATGCAGCTCTGTGTGCGCTCAGTTAAAAGGAAAGGTAAAAGCTTTGTATTCTTTCTGTGTGGCAATCCCAGACACGGCATAGCCAGGCGTTTCTAGGTTTTTCTGCAAAATCACTGATGCCAGTGATCCTGGGCTTGTTGTGTGGCTGGGAACCAACATAATTTGCGAGTACACGAATTCAGTAATTCTGCAAATTAACTGATGAATTCTCGAGTCTTTTGCTTTCTGAAATCAAGCAGTGAGATAATATATTGGCAGGAGGGAAAGGGAGAAATTCATTTGCAGAGGCTCACTAGGCTCAAGATAGATCTCCGCAAAGCTTGGGAAAATAGCTTTCTGTGGCTCTGCTGAGTTCCTGTTTAATTACTTAGCCAGATATGACCTTGCACAACTTCTATAATACAAGGGACTAGGAGATCTTTTGTGGTAAACAGAGCCCATAATAACTCCGTTCTCTAATCTCTGTTTCTCTAGCTGATGCCACCCTTTATAAAACTATATATATCCCCGCAGCACCTAATTGAGAAATGGCTTTGCGAGGGGATAAAAACATTTCAGTTGCAGGAAGTAATTACAGAGGAACAGCGTTACTTCTCTCTTTATTGTTACGGACAAGTACTGTTATCGGAGGGCTTGGTTCTCGTTGCGTGTCCTTTGGGTTGGCAGTTATTATACCTTTGGTCACGGGAAGGAAATGCTGAAGAGGTTGGGCAGAATGATGTTATTTGTATTTTTAGTATGGCTGAGGAGGTGCATAGCTGTTCCTTTGCAGTCTTCATGCACCCACCTGGGAATCTGCTGTGTATGAAGACGTTTCCAAGGGACACGGGTGTCTGTGCCACCTTAGGAGAGCCTAACAGAGAGCCTGTATAACTCCGCAAGGGGAAGCTGCCCTGTTTGCAGTAACAAGCACTAAGAACTGAAGGAATTGGAGCAGTAGCGATGTGGCATAATGTAGTGGGTTGTAGGGTGTTGAGAAACTGTTTCATCGCAAGCACTGCTCTGTATGGTTCTCTTGTTTCGTTTTGTTTTTGCAAGGGCTGTATAAATAATAAATATTTTCTTTTACGTTGGCGAGGCTGATGTTTTAAACTTGCATTGCAGGGGAAAGGATGAAATGAGTTTCGAGGTGCATGACACTGTAAGTGAGGACTGTGGGGTTTTCTTGGTTGTGGTTTTTGGTTATGGGGGGCTTTTTTGGGGGTGGGCTGGGCTGCTAAATATACCTCTAATTTACAGGTCAGGAAAGAAAGGAGATGACCCTAATTCTGCCACGTTCTTGAACAACATAGAGCCATCTGCAATTCCACCCTTATTGTACCCTTACAGGACAAGCACAACCTGCCCCGAAATCTCACGGTGCCTTCGAGTGTCAGAAACAGCCTCCCACCTGCTGCGAAAGCGCAGCCCTCTGAGCAGCTGGCCACAGGCACTGCTTCAAAATGCACGGCAGTGCTTTGACATCCCTTAAATATCAGCCTCTTAAACGTTGTTTCCCCTTGCTATTTTGCCTTTTGAGCAAAGAAGCTGCTCTGTCTTAAGGGGTGAAGGCAGGCCCACGGGTTCTTAATTGCCTCCCTCCCCAAGTGACTTGGGAGATTGTTCTCTAACTGGCGGTAATTATCCTTTACTGTAAACTAACCAAAGTACGCTCTGATTTCAGTGTTCTGTTCATTAGCCAGCATCCTCTCCTGAATGTTAATGTATTCTGGGAATGTCCAGCCTATACGACTGGGCTGATTTGTGTTGCAAGCGTTTGTGAAATATCCTGAGGAGCAAACTTGTACCACGCAACCGATTCGAAATGAAACCCATGATGTTTAACGGTTGGGCTTGATGATCTCAAAGGTCTTTTCCAACCTAAACGGTTCTATGATTCTATGTCAAGGACGGAATATCAACGATGGTCAAGCGGCAGAGTGGCTTTGCACGTGAACATTGTCTAAAAGGGAGATAAACTTTTTATTGTCCCCGAAAGAGTGCTTGATGGAAAGGTTGGTTCTGAGCCGGTGCCTGCAAAGGTTTCTCCCCATGGTCGGTGTTTGTGGCATGATTTCTTGTCTGAAGTGAAGAGGGGATTTAACCCCTTAGTGGCACTAGTGGTGGTTTTGCAATGGAAGTGGGCTGCTAATTTAGCATGGAAGAAACGTGGGGAAGAATGAAAGCTTCCCTTCATACCTTGACTCACACATAATCCATAAAGAGAAGACTCATCACACACTCTGTTTAAAAATAAATAAATATTTTTTTTGCAAAAGTCTGAATCCTAGCAGATGCTTTCTCTTGTTTGGTTTTTTTTTTTTTTTTCAAGGCATTCCTCAGCGTGGACCGCTTGGTTTTCAGATGGGTAAATGTGTGCAGCATATAAAAATGAAGTTGAATGCTTTTAACAGCTACGGTTCTGCCATCCAGCTCCTGCTCAAGCCCCTGGATCTGGATTTTTCTGCCGTGGCTCCTATAATGAGCAATGAAGCATGGCTGCTCTGCCAAGTGCAGGTGGAAAGGTTTGCCTGGTAATGCTGCCGATTGCTGGATAAGAAAGGAGGTGACTTGGAGGGGTTTTTTTCTGCTGAATGAGATTATTCCAGTCCAAAGCATGATTTGAATTTCCAAGTGCTCTTTAACCAATGTACAATAACAGACTTCTGTAGTGGAGCAAACCACACCAGAAAAAGACGCTCTCAAAACTGTGCAGGCGGAAAGCTATTGCTGAAAAACTTGTTCCACAATTGCCTTTTCAGTTAATTTCCTCTTGTATACAAGCCCTTTCTCTCAGCATTTTACCATATATTTCCGGAGAGAGAGCACTTGATCACCGAGCTTGTGCACAGTGCTCAGATCTCAAGACACCAGGCGCTTGGAGTGCCTGCTGCTAGAAATCAGCCCTGATAAGCATTCACATGCCTGGTTTGGTTAATAAAATTACCCGAACTGTTCTGGTGTACAAAATTGTTTTAATTGTATGAGATGACTGCTTTTGCCTGGGTATTTCGATGCCCCTCTCAATGATCTGGATGAGGAGGCAGGTGAATATAGAAGTTGTAGAAGTGGAAGTAAGAATTAAGAAACAAAGTAGAAATCTGTGTTTAAAAACAAAATACTTGCTTAATGCTCATGAAAGCATTGGGATATTTACAGGAAAAAAAAAAAAACACCCTTCTAGAAGAAAGGCTTGAGAATGTGATGTTGCATGCTTAGGAACTACAATTAATCTCTGAATATGACGATTCCCACATGTGGAAAATTGCAAGGAAATAACTGTCATGCTATTGAGTTCTGTCTGTTCTTTCCAAGTTGCACACATCTTTGAAAATTACTCCGAACGAATCTAACGGCATCCCTGGTTACTACAGACTATGAAAATAAGTTCAAAAGAGCCCCCAAAGTACAGTCTGTGGGCTTTTCACCATGTCAGATAGTTTGTCATTTGCTGAAGCGTAGGCTATGCTTCTGTCCTGTCCCTGGTAACTTTAAATGCTCATCTGCTAGTCTGCTAATGAAAATTATCCTGCTAATTCTTGCAAGTCAAATGTTACTAACTTTTTCAGGTTTTTTTTCCTTTTGCTCTTTTTGTTCTTTTTAAATAGAGTGATAGTTATGTGAGATTTAAAGAGGCAACCATCTTCTATTGTTCTGTCTGCTTTTCAGAATTAGTGCAAGAAAGAATACAGAAAATGCCTATAAATGGTATTATATATATGACACATATGGGTGTACGTCTGTATGTGCGTAGGGAAAATCAAATTAATGCAGTGTAAAACGTGTGTTGCTATCTAAAAATTCAGGTATCTCAGCAGCAAACTTGCTCCAGAAACAGAGGGCCTTTTGTTCAAAGAAAGATCTCTGTTATGTGAGGTATAAAGTCTCCTTTGCCCAGGTGCTCTGGGTGAAGCCCTTGAACAGAACCTATATAAGCCAGAGGCAGCTGGTACCTTCACTATATGCATTACTGTATGAGGCAATCTCTATGTATCAACGTATATACACGTACATGAATGCATCTCTGCATGTATGTGGGTAAACAGACTTTTAAGGTACTCTCCCGTTAACGGTTTTCTGTATCCGCTAGCCGCACTTGCGCACTTTCAGCCTTTCCTAGGAAATGGAACTTGCCAGCTTTTTCAAGCTTTGCCTCTCTTTAAATACCCATTCGCACATACACATATCTGGGATGGTATCCCCCAGTTCTTGCCTTACCTTCACATCGTTGATGTTCATCCTCGTTCCCTCCTTCCCAACAAAGATGTCATCTATGTCAACCAGAATGTATCTGTCCAGGGACAGCATGAGCTTCTTCCCCGACAGGAAAGAGATGGCATCAATGAAGATCAGTTTGTGCAACCAGAAGGTCAGGTTGTTTCCAAAAAGGACTCTCTGAATCCCATCGTGAAGCCCCAAGTCTTGGATGACAGTCGCATACAGAGCAGCCTTTGGCAGTGCTGCGGGGGGCGGTCTGGAGGTCTGCAGTTCAGTTAAAAGCACAGGTTGATAGGTGGAATGGTTAAACTGGAAAACTGTCCAGTCTTCACCAGGCAGTGGACCTTTCTCAACCCTTGGCGCTTTGGTAATGCGCAGCAGGGGAGACTGAGGGTTTACCACGCAGTCTTTGAGGGCTACGTTATTGTAAAGATGTAATGGCAATCCCTTCAGTTTTGTACTTGGGGAGCTGTTCTCGTTGGCTTTATGAAAACCAATTATGCTAACACTGTATTCCACACAGTATTTTTCCAGAAGCTCTCTATTCCACGAGTCCATGGATACATACTTTAAAATATTCTCGTATATAACAATTGTGTATTTTCCTCTTCCATTGTCTGTGAGAGGGGGAATATCCCCCTTAGCTGGCATGATGACCATGTGGTACTGAAATCTGCTGGACTCGAGGATGGCTATAATATCTTGCCCCAGCTGCGAGTACTGGCTTTCCACGAAGAGGAGGACAGTGGGATCAGTTTTGGATGGATCAATCGGCTTAGGTGTTTTCAGCTCCACAGACCTGTATGGTAGAAGCTTGAGGTCTTCACACTCCGCTTCTCCAGTGGTTTCCACGAGGGCCATTTCCTGCTTGGAGCCGGTGTAGAGGTAATAGGCAGAAATGATGATACTTGCCAAGCAGAAGGTCGCCAGGAGAATGACCAGCGTTCTGAAACTTCTGCGGAGCTTCACGATTAGATTCATCTTTCGCAGGACTCCCAACTTCTGTTGGACTTGCCACTTTCCTGGTTCTCTCTTCCTAAAGTGCCATAGGAATGAGGCAATGCAGAGGTGCCGATTCCCCTCCCAAGGCGTTCATGTGACCATTGCAGTGCATTTATGAAGCTGCCGGGGAGGTTATAAAGCTGTTGGAGCGGGAAGTCAAAGGATCCGGAAAGCTAAATTGAAAGAGGTTTTCTCAGAATGTAGCAGCTGCCAATAATCAATGAAGAGGACTCTTAACATTATCTGCAACAAAAAGTAAAAGAGGAGTAAATAAAATAAAATCCATAAAGCAATTAAAACACCTGTTAATAAAGATGGTGATTGATACTGGTAATCTGAGCGAAGAGGGAAGTTTATGAACAGTTCAAGGAGCACTCAGTGTCACTTGCTTTCTTGATGTATTAAGATAAGTTGCATTAAACAGCTCTCCCATATTCCTAGAGTATAAAAATAAAGTCTAAACATAAATTCTGAGGTCATTAATAGTTTCATTTATGGACATTTTTTATCTAAAAAGGTTCATTGCTATTGCAAATGGGAATGACCGAAGATTGTAGGACAAAATTAGGACAAAGGAAATGTTTGTTAAATACTGGGCCGTGTTCCATCAACCTCAAGCTGCACAAGTATTTTGAAAGGGGTAACAAATCCTCTGTGGGACTGTGAAACTAATGAAACCAAAGTCAAAGACAGAATCACAGAATTGCAAGGGTTGGAAGGGACCTCGGGAGATCACCCAGTCCAACCCCCCTGCTCAAGCAGGTTCTCCTAGAGCATGTTACACAGGACTTCATCCAGGCGGGCTTTGAATATCTCCAGAGAAGGAGACTCCACAGCCCCCCTGGGCAGCCTGGGCCAGGGCTCTGTCACCCTCAGAGTAAAGAAGTTCTTCCTCATATTCAACTGAAACCTCTTATGTCTCAGTTTGTACCCATGGCCCCTTGTCCTGTTGCTGGACACTGCTACAAAGAGTCTGGCTCTGTCCTTGTGACTTCCA